AAGCAGCATGCTATCAGGAGCGTTGTCCAACTGCCCAAGGCCTGCACCGCTACACCATTTCCGTCCCCGTCTTTTCCCTCATCAACTCAAAAAGAGCTCATGAGAAGATCTCTTACTAAGGCTTAGTATCAATATGAGCACAAACCTAGCTGACAATGCCTTACTACTTCTGCTGTGGAAAGGGTATAAGCTATAAAATAAACATCAGTGAGGACAGTAACATACTGTGATGTATCCTGAATTTGGAAAGCAATTTGGCTTCTAAAAACATAGAAAAGAGGCAAACAGCAGTGACAACTCCTATACTTGCCTATTCAGTTAAGATATATAGAGTAAAATATATTGGACTGAACTAAATAAATAAAATAAAAAAGCATGAGCTTACATATATCAGAGTTTAAGAGGAAAAGTATTAAATGTAATTTATTATATGCATAATGTTCCATCATGTTGTAAATAATGCCATAATAGTGTATTTATGTAGTTTGTTCTTGGCTGGTGATAGAGTTCTGTCATAGTGCTGTGTAAGTTTTTATTTTGGTTTGTTTTTTTCCAAAGTGTAGTTAGTAAAGATGGCAGAGAGCACCCAATACCCTGGTTCCCAAGTTCTTCCAAAGCAAGAAGAAATGTGAGATAGAGTTTGTTTGTTTGTTTGTTTTTCTCTTTCTTTCTTTCAAAATAATGCTTCTTAAACAAGGTAAGAGAGATATGAGATCACGGCTAAGCTGCCGCTGCCACTACCACCCTATGACAAACACCATGTTTGCAACAGCTAACAAGAGGTGGTGCATTTTTGGACCACAATTCACATTACATTCTTCCTGCAAGAAGAGTAATTCTGTAGCCCACCTCTCCTGCAGAACAGCAGTGTGAGAAGGGATGCAAAGTACCAACACCCTGGTAACAGCAGCTTGCTGGTGCCATCTAGTACATCCGTTGCTCACAAACAGAAAGATGAGGAAAGAGCTGTTAGAGTTAATCTCAGGCCTTACCAGCTTTGCAGCATTCTGCTTAAATGGCAAAGTCAAGAATTCAACTTGGAACCAGGCAAGATAATATGAAAACCCCAAGCATCTTGGCTAGATCAGCTTTGGAAGGGAGACCACAGTTTCAAGTCCTTCAACAGGTAATGGTAACAAATCAACCACGTTGCAAGTGTAAAGGGCACTCGTCACTG